TGCAAGACAGAGAGGTCCTCGGATCTCTCTATCCTATAGCCAATCAACACGCAGAAAAAGCTTGTCGTACGACAAAAACGCACAAATGAAATATCGTTCTAATACAGTGAATGATATCCTAGTTGTTTGCTAATGTACGAAGATGACATGATCACTGTCACACTGTGTCGCTTTCTGAAAAGCAACAACAATGTGTCAATAGATACATGTATACATAGCACGTATATTTATAGCTGCTCCTTGATGAATACAAATATAATATTACTGATGTATTCTTATGTACAACATTAGAATAATGCATCTTTATCGTAATTATGTGAATATATACGCACATTAGACATAGACATTACACATGCTGAAATATTCATGCAGATATTCTGTATATCTATTTATACATAATATTAGAATTTTGTGTGTATCGTGTAATGTGTGTGTATGTATACATACAGTTTAATTTTATTATTACATAAAGAGACATTAGTAAATATGAAGTACAGTTACATTTTATATAATAATGTGTGCACATATACACACATAGATCAGTGTACACAAAACATTATTCTATTATTGCATATAGATGCATAAGTGATACATATGTAATTCTAGAATAATACTTTTTGTGTAAGCATTTATACATTATAATACACATAAAATGTAATTGTACATATTCATTAATATATCTTCTTATACAGTTATATACAGTGTCACGTCCGGGGCGCGTGAGTGCGAATGCCCCTCGGACGCGGCGTGGGCTTCGACGCGTCCGACGCGTCCGACGACGGCTCGGCGTGATTCTCGCCCCGAGCAGCAAGGACGGTAATCGCGGTTACGGAGGTTAAGAGGGAGGTCGACGGTCACAAAATGATTACATGAAAACCGCTGGTTCTCAGGGTTCAAGACGTGCGTTTATTGAAGATTTTCCATAAGAAGTCGCGCGTGGAAAGGAATTGTCCGGTGACGGACGCGATCTCTAGGACCGTAGGCACCGGTCTCGCGGGTAGAGGCGGTGGTGGCGGCGGATCCTGGCAGTTGCCAGGCACGGGATGGTAAAATCCCGGCGGCTGAACGATGCGCGGGTCGGCGAATTCACGCGGGTCAAATTCCTCTCGCCAATAGTACTCCCGCCGCATTCGCTTGAGAGCCTTGTCGCGACCAGCGCGATTTCCTTTCGGCATCTACAATCAAGGGCGCGGTGAGTCTAATGGTGCTTCGGGGAGTGTCGGGCGAGATAGTATAAGTGATTGTGGAAATCTTAATTTCTATAACGACAGGCGGTTAGAAATAGGGTGAGTGGTAGGGGGCCCTGAAGGGGGCTCTTGCTCACCGCTCGGAAGGCTGCCAGGGCTCTGTGTTGAGCGACTGGGGGCCTGGGTTAGGACGCCCTGGAGACCCTGAGAGGGGCTTCCTAGAACGGAATTCAGGGAATGAGATTTTAAAGGGATGCCTCGGCGGCCCTGAGAAGGGCTTCCTAGGCTCGGTTGTAAGGCCACTGTCGCCCCGGAGGATAGGGAGCCTGGCGCGGTTCTCTTGCGCCACGACGCGCGAGGCTCCCTGCTCCAGATTCACAAAATTTTAATGACGATCGGACGACACAGACGACACAGACACTTCGAGCCGCTTCGGTTATTCGCGGGAGGAGGGAAAGTAATAACAAAAAAAAGAAATAGAAGACTATAGAAGTTTATTTGCTCATTATTTCACGTTTGCGAGTCATTACCTCGGGGTTCCGAAAAATTATTATTTACAAAAAAAAAAGGAAAGAAAGTGCGATTGAGGCGGAAGTGCCACATGTAGCTTACTGTGCGGTGCGGTGTTGCTCGGCTATCCTTTAAATCGCCCGGTATGGGGGATGGTCCTCGGGAACTTTGCAGATAATCGCCTACGATCCGCTCGAGAGGGTCTCCGGTTGGAGTTACACCCACACACAAGCACTGTCTTGTTCCTCTAGCTCTAACTATGACTCTAACTCTGGCTTTGACACCGATACTCTGACTCTCTGACTATGACTCTCTGACGAAAAGACCGAAAAAGACCCGTAAGCTAGCTCTGATGTGCGCTTTTATAACGTTAAAAGTGATGGTGCTGAGCGGGAAAGGGGGTTGACCTGTCAACAGTTACTCGAATCTTTTGAAATGTTCTAGAAAATTCGATCAGATGAGATTTTGTTAAATTTTGCTGTCTTAAAAGAGGAAATTGTCAAATTTGAATGTTGACAGGGCCCTCTTAGGCGCTCCGCCCCTGTGCTGCATAGTGTGCAGTCGCTGTGCGCGTTTATTCGCGTTATATTTCCGTCGAAGGATATTTCCCTTTTTTATAAATAGAGTTTTGGATACAGAGCGTTCGTGCGTTACTCGTATCGCGGAGCTTCCAACGGACTTTCGCAGATTTTGTTGGAAGCTTTTGGTGCACTTGAGGATGCAATTTAGCTATGTATTCTCGATCGTAAGCGCAGTATTAGCCGCTTTATGAACCAGCGCAATTATATTTGCAATTGCAATTGTTGAATTTAAATGAGGCGAATTTATTAATTTATTCGAAATACTGCGATAGATCGAGAATACTAGAGGGGTTCTTAGTTCCCTATGGTTTAGGTTTTAATATCATGGGGTGCTTTTTCGTCACGCTATTGAATTAATTGAATTTTCTTGCGATTAATAAAATTAGATCGCGCAAGCGCAGTACAGCTTTGCAACAGCTGTTTGATCACGCGCTAAGCGCGTGATCACGGTTCGCGAGAGTTCCGCGGCAATCGTGACAGTTCGCGTTGTCATAGCAACGCGTCTGACGTCATTGAACGTGACGTTCGCTTGCGCGCAAATTTCGGCGGACGTTAGTCATCAAATCTAACTTCTGTAATTAAGCAATTCAACATATCTCGTATTTTTCTATTAATACGATCTTACTCTATTACTACATGAAGAATTTTTTGCCAAATATTTACTTGTTAAATAATAAACAAGATTTAAAGGTGCATCTCAATGAAACTTGAAGAAATCCAAATTCTAAAATCTTTTTTTACAACGACTACAAGCATGATTTAATAATGAATTTTACACTAAATAGTTTTTAATCTAAGAGCAATAAATTTGTGGTGGAACCAACAGCGTTTATTAGTTCAGCCGAAACGCCATTATCTCATATTAGACGCCTATCTCATAATAGGGGGCTTTCCTCTATTATATTTATTCATAAATAATGTAATTAATATTAATATATTGCGAGTTAATTAGTCATCAAATTAAAAAGATTCACGAAAATACCTTCATTATCGCTATAAGTGGATCAAACTTGTTTACATATTTCTTATCGCCACCACCGCTTATCCGATGACTCCTCTTATCGTCAATCTTTTCTTTTGTCTTTTCGATTTGTTTGTGTGATACATTTTGCTGATCGACCTCGTCAATAATTGCCTCAGAATATTTAATTTCCTCTTTCTCGTCTTCCCGCAGGATTCTCTTCACATCTGATATAATAAGCTTCTTATCCTCTATCATCGGTCTTGAGGTATCGACAATATGTATGAAAGATTGCTTCTTCAAATCCTTCAATCTTCGTTGACGTGTCTTCCATTTCATTCTTTCTTCATTTCGCTCCACGATTTTTCTTTCATATTTACATTTACACACGGGCTTTACTACCTTCAATCGACGAGGTCTATAATAATTTATATATTTTATAATATACAAAGTCGCTGATATTGATCATGTTTAAATGATATATTGAAAATTAAATATCAAATTACTTGTTTATTAAAACAAGTCAAAATTATTAATTACTGAATTTAATGCTGCAAATTAAAAGAATTAGTACAATTAAAATATAATGAAATATTTAATAACTTCAATAATTATGATTTTGTTTAACTAATGTTTTTTTTCCTAACCTGTAACTTTGAGCAATTTTCTTGCAGGTCGTCCAGCAAGGTATGTTATTATCGCGTTGGGTAAAATAATCTGTCAGTGCTGCATCCTTCAAAGCTGTCTTCCATCTTTCTTCCGGTGATTTGGATTCCATAAACTTTTTTCTAGTCTCTTCAAGATCTTTCTTCTGATCGATGAAGTAGTCTTCTTTAATGACGACATTATTACAACAATTGCATGAGTTTGATTTTTTCCGTATTTTTTCTACCAAATTTTTGGATCCGGAATGCTTTTCTATTAGCTTCAATCTTTTATCCATAGCTTTGCTAACACACATGTCGTATGGCGATTCGAGAAGATCATATTCTGGAACATATTCGTCACTTCTTCGGGGACTAATGGGTGGCGTAACGTAAAGGACACCGTCAATGATTCTATTCTTTTCCTTTAATTTCTTTCTGCTAGCTCTTCTTTCATCTCTTTTCTTCTCAACCAAACCACTTACATTATACGTAAGAATCTTTTTCTTGTTTCTATTTTCCCTACATTGGCAAGGTCGTCCTCCAGGACGTACTGCCATTGTCTCTAGAGGATAATCCGGCTCGCAGAGATAGGCCACAGTCTTTTTTGCTGGAAGTTCCTGCTCCGACTTCGTTCTCCAACCGCAAGGTTCCTTTTTGGTTCTACGTATCTCTTCTTTGTTACCAGTAGCTGAAAAATCTATCTTTTCAGTTTTCTTTTCTGGAATACGTTGACTAGTTGCCAATAATTTTTCTGGGAGAACCGCCGGCTGGATATCTCCTAAAATCCCCGCGAAAGGTTTGAACATATTCTTTAACCGCGCCATTTCTCGTTTGCGATTTTCAATTTTCTCAGCTTTATCTACTATGTTTTTCTTTCCATTTTTCTTCACAAAACTATGTTTAGTTAGCTTACTAATTTTGTTAGATTGCTTAGTTAGATTGTTACGTAATAATGATCTCGTTTGTTGCTTCTTTTCCGTTTTAGATATTGTCACCGATCCGGAAATTGTATTGAACAATTTTGTACCTTTTTTATTAAAAGTAATTCTCTTTAAAGGTATCGGTTCTATTTTTTGGTTTTTTATATATTTTTTTTCCTTTTTTCCTTTGCTGATTCCTTTTTGAAATTTTTTCGATGATTTTAAGGAGATTTTTGTATTAATTTTCTTGGCTAAAGTATCATTTTTTATTTTCTTTAATTTCTTCGAGAAGATGTCATTTTGCTTCTCTTGCATTTTTAATGGCAAAGAAGTTGTAGGCCATTCTGGAGATGTCAACTTCAAGGTTGCTTCATAATCTGTTTTAATTATTTTTGCTGGGGGCACAATTCGTGATATATTCCAAGGATCGTCATAAGCAGGATAATCAGGATTAGGAATAAATTTATCTCTCTTTTTTTTTATAATATCTTTTTCTGGAACTTGAATCTCTTTCTTAATCGCTTCAATGAATTTTATCTTGTCTTTCACTTCTTCTTCTTCTTCTTCTTCTTTTTGTTTTCCTATTTTTCTTCTTTCCATCTTCATTATTTCTTTCATGAAAGGATTATATCTGCAGAATTTATCTCCAGGATATATTTTGCAAGAATATGCACCTAGTTCTTTTGGTCTATACTTCTTTGCGGGACACAATCCTTTTTTCATCCAAGGAATGTTTTCCTTGCTTACAGATAAACTAATATTCTTATGAACCATTTGTTGAACAGAACATGAACAAGGTGGAACATTTTTAATAGAGTGAATTATGCTCGTTCTAATCTCATCCTCAGCAACCTGATTAATAGGTAATTCTGTTGGATTTTGTCCTGAAGATTGCATCGCTATCGAATCTGCGATATGTCTGTCAAAAATAATATATTCTTGTACTTTATGATCATTGAATCACTGAGTTTTTAAAATATTAATTTTCAAAATTTTATAATTTTTTAAGCCTTGAAGAGAAGTTTTGAAAGGATTATAAGATTATAAAATATATCAATCTTGCTGGGTGTCACATTAGCCAAGCCTCGTAAGTTACAGGATAAAAAAAATTTAAATTGGAAAACCGCGGGTTTTAAAGATTCTAGAATCCAAAATTCTATAATTAGAATCAGAGGATATCAAAATTCAAACATGTAAACATTCACATTTCTGAAAATTTTGAAATTAATATTAAAATTGTTAATTGTTGTGATCTATTTAATTAATAACTGACCGTAAAAGACAAATCTATCGGAAAAGATAGATTTTCCGATAGATTAAAAATGTAAAAAAAAGGCGTCAAGTATATTTTGCAGAAAAAAGATACCAAAGATAATGCTATAAAAAAAGAAGTAAAATCAAAATAATATTTCAAGTGTCTCTATTTGGAAAGTCCCATAGAACACAGTTCTCTGAACGGCATCTTGAAAACTTCCTTACGATGTAGACGTCTTTTCGATATCTTTTAAGACAGTGTTGTATGGAATAATTTCTCATAATTATAATATATATACTACACAAAGTACACATGACATTTGAAGTGTATTAAGTATAACAACATATTAATGAGAGAACGAAATGCAATAGATAGCGTAATGAGAGGCGTGGAAACTGAAAAGGAATTTTTACATCGATAACAAGTAGAAAATTGTAGAAAGAAAAAATCGAAAACGAGCAAGATCTCCAGCAGCAGCATACTTGACGCGCCCGCCTTGTTCATAATTCGATTCATGCAAACAATTTAATAAATATTTTATTATAATTATAAACTATTTTTTGCAAATTAAAGAAATTTTATATATATTCAAATTGTTATTATAGTATTGATATATTTCATATTTAACAAGTGCACATTCAAATATTTTTCTATGAGATAAAAAAAATTTTTGATACTTCTTAATACTAAATTTTTAACCCTTAAATTTTTTTATTGTAGTAATAGAATTTGAAATGTATTACAGTAATATTAGCAGTTATTGTTCGACATAATATTATTGTCTTTAATTATACTTGATTCTCATGAAAATAGAAATCTAAATATTATATTTCTTATTTAATAAAACTTTTTAGAAACAATGCACGACTCATTTGCGGATTAGGGATTTTATTATCAAATAGATTTAAAAGCGAGTTATACGTGAAATTGGACTCATATATATTCCTTGTAACATATTTCGAAATTACATTGTCTATGTGTTAATATCCTTTTCTAAGTAGAATGAATTAGAATGAATTATACTATAACGTTAATTTTATTAAAATGTTTAAAATTTTATTAAATCGTAATTAATTTTTATTGTCATTGATCTACGTATTATTGACAAGTCAGGATGCAAATGACTGTCTTAGCAATTTTTATTTTAAATTACCATTATACGAGTAAACAAGACGAGCGCGTCAAGTACGCTGCTGCTGGAGATCTTGCTCATTTTCAATTTTTTATTTCTACAATTTTCTACTTGTTATCGATGTAAAAATCCCTTTTCAGTTTCCGCGCCTCTCATTACGCTATCTATTACATTTTGTTCTCTCATTAATGTGTTGTTATACTTAATACATTTCAAATGTCATCTGTACTTTGTGTAGTATGTATATTATATTTATGAGAAATTATTCTATACAACACTGTCTTAAAGGATATCGAAAAGACGCCTACATCGTAAGGAAGTCTTCAAGATGCCGTTCGGAGAACTGTGTTCTATGGGACTTTTCAAATAGAAATACTTGAAATATTATTTTGATTTCATTTCTTTTTTTATGGTATTATCTTTGGTATCTTTTTTCTGCAAAATATAATTGACGCCTTTTTTTTTACATTTTTAATGTCTTTTCCGATGAAATTTCACGAATTTTTGCTAAGTATTATTTTTATTATCACATTTTCATAATTGTTTGATTATGTAAAGATATTGCAAAATATACTTGATGCTTTTTTTACATTTTTAATGTCTTCCGGTTGATTATCATTTTCTAATTTAATTAAAAACTATCAGCTTATAATTTCGTTCTGTCTGATCTCTTCATATTAATCAATTTTCATCAATTTACTCGTGCTCTCATTCGAACATATACATATAAATATTCATAAACATATATAATTATGTATGAGATATGTCTATATATGTTTATACATCCTTCTTAATTTATAAAATTACTTTTTAATATACTAAAAATAATAATAATAATGAGAATTATTAAAAAATGTAAAAGAATTGCTCATATATAGTTGCATGTAAAATTATAGTTATGTATGAGCAAATTTTTTTATATTTTTCCTTACTTATTTAATTTTTTCTAAAACAAACAATGCGAAAATAGTCCCATTAATTATTTTTCATGTTTTCTAAATATTATTATTATTTTTAGTACACTAAAATTGACTAAAAAATAATTTTACAAAAGAAAGATGTATGGACATATTTCATGTATAATTATTTATGATTATAAATATTTATGCGTGTTTATATATGTTTATACATATATTTAGACATATTATTGTTTAAAAAATTTTTTACCGAGAAGTAAATAGATAACATAGATGAGTAGATAGATAACGTAGACATTATGATAAATATCATAAATAGACAAATAAAAACGCAAATAGGTGAATAGATGAAATATTGGAAAATGGATAGATAACATCGATAGGTGAATAAATAATGTAGATATATAAATAAATAAAATAATGTATACCGACAGATGAGATGTAGAAGAATTGGGAAAGATATGCAGAAACGATGCAAAGAAGTGCAAAACAAATGCGGAAGAGATGTAAAGGAAATGTAGAAGTGGTGCGGAAAAAATGCGGAAAAGATGAAAAAGAGTTGCGGAAACGATAAGAAGAGATGCGGAGAAGTGCAGAAGAAATGCGAAATTATATATAATACGGGAGAGATGTGAGAGAGATGTGGTACTATTATAGAAAAAGTGCAAAAAAGGTACATGAAAGATGCGGAAGAGATGCCGGAAGGATTCGAGAGAGGTCCGGAAAAAGTGCAGAAGAGGTGTAGTAAAAGTTCAAAAAAGATGTAGAACAAGTGTAGAAAAAGTGTCGAAAAAGTGCAGAAAAGATGTAGAAAAAGTGTAGAAAAAGTGCAGAAAATAAGTGTAAAAAAAGTGTAGAAGAGGTGTAGAAAAGATTCAGAAAAAGTGTAGAAAGTATTGAAAAAAGGTGCAGTAAAAGGGGACAAAATTTAGCGAAGACGACGACGACGACGACGATGACGACGACGTATCTGAATAAATAAATAATTTTTAATTATATAAGCGAGTTTATTCCTGTAAAGGATATGCTGTAGCATCTCTTTCATGAAACATGGTATTATATTATTATGTACGAGGGTCGTCTGAAAAGTTTTGAGCCTCATCATGAAGATGGCGTTACTCGTCAAAGCCATTCTGGTATTATAATCGTGATACTTATGAAAGATATCTGTGACAATTGTGGCCACTTTGGATGTTCAGTTCTTGTTTGACATTCATTTGTGTCGTCATTTTGTAAAAATGGAAAAAATTGAATATGCTATAATTAAATTCTTGCATTTGAAAGGCAATACGTCTACGCAAATTAAAGCTGAGTTGGACGCTGTTTACGGGGACTCTGCCCCATCATTTGCCACCGTGAAAAGATGGGTAGCTGAATTTGAACATGGTCGTACCAGCTTAGCTGATGATGAGCGTTCGGGACGGCCAACAACTGCGACCACCACCGATAACATTGAAGAAATTAATCAAATGATAATGGACAACCGTCGAATTAAGATTAGGGAGATAGCAGAGACTGTTGGAATATCAAAAGAACGTGTTTGTCATATATTGACTGAAGAATTAGGCATGCGTAAGTTAACCGCGCGTTGGGTGCCGCGCTTGCTCACTCTGGATCAAAAACGGCATTCGAATGAATTTTACATTTTTAAGGTCCTGTTGAAGCGGTTTAAGCGAAACGAATCGGATTTTTTGCGTCGATTAATAACGGTTGATGAAACTTGGGTCCACCACTTCACTCCTGAAACGAAAGAACAATCAAAACAGTGGACTGCGAAGGGTGAACCTGCTCCGAAGAAAGCGAAGACGGTTTTATTGGCGGGAAAGGTGATGGCGACTGTTTTTTGGGACGGTCATGGAATTGTGTTGATCGACTATCTTGAAAAAGGTAAAACAATAATAGGGACGTAC